CCCGCACGCAACCCCCTGCATGTGCCCCGCCCCCTGCGCATGCACACATGTGCCCCTGCATGCGCCCTGCCCCTCACGCATGCGCAGCAGAGACCTGACAACCAGATGGCCAGTGGGAGGCACCTGCACATGCATGGCAGAGCCAGGGGTGGTATTCAGTTGGTTCGTACTGGTTCGAGTGAACCGGTAGTTGAGATTGGCAGGTGGGCCTGCCCCCGCCCCTGGCACTATGCCATCCTATTTAGCTGTGTTTTTTAAGCTTGCAAGTTTTAAGTTTTGCAAGTGCGCGCACGAGCAAAGCACATGCACAGAAGGTCGCCTGCGCACTCACATTTTCTGTGCTGGGGCGAACCAGTTGTTAAATTATGTGAAGCCCATCTCTGGGCGGAGCTAAACTGGGGCGATGGCTCGCGTGCCCACAGAGAAGGCGCTGCATGCCACCTGTGGCATGCGTGCCATAGGTTTGTCATCACGGTACTAATATAATAGATTGTCTTACATGCTCCTGAGTTAGAATTAGAATTAGAATTAGAACACTCTTTATTAGTCAAATGTGATTGGACACACAAGGAATTTGTCTCCAGTGCATAAGCTCTCAGTGTACATACAAGCAACAAAGTGATAAATCATATATCATAAGATACAATCCTAAATCATAAGATACAAACAACAAAGTGATAATCAGAGTAGATACTAGGAAAGGGGAAAAGGATAATAGTAACACAGTCCTACTACACAATTAAGGCATAAGACAGTGCTGTGGGAATTATGCTAAGAACTCGATACGTTGAACAAATTGAGGTACCTTGTAAGGATGATGCATTTATCTGATTGCTGACTCTTTGTACTACTATATATGTATTTTATCACTGTATTTTCTTTTATCTATTTAATCCCGGGATCAGATCATGTATTTTATTTATTTATTTTTATTGATCTGGTTGTATGACTAATCAATTAATAAACTATTACAATTACTATATAATGCCATTATAGGTGAAAATGGCTAAAATAATGTCTCATTCCCAGGCTGGGAATATGAAAGTCAGGACGCACAGAAAAAAGGGTTTACCCAGCCAGTGAGGAAATGCAGAGAAGGAAAAGCTCTGTGTATCTAATTACTTGTAAGGAACCAGAGACATCAGGCAGAAATACTCAGGGGACTCAAGAGTTATCCAATACTCTCAGTTGTCTGTGCAGATTAGGCTTGTTGCATCTTCTTATTTTCGTCTTAATCTCTTCTGGTTCAGTTCATCTCCACAATGCATCTCATAATCCATTAAGTCCCAATGTGTTTTGAGTCTCCTTTAAAATGGAGTGACTTTTCAAATACGTTAAGTACCATATGTATGTGTAACATACAGCTAGTTCTCGACTTACAACAGTTCATTTAGTGAGCCTTCAAAGTTACAACAGCTCTGAAAAAAGTGACTTACGACCGCTTTTCACCCTTATGACTGTTGCAGTCATCTCCGTGGTCACATGATCAAATTTTGAGCGCTTGGCAACGGACTCATATTTACGACAGTTGCTGTGTCCCGGGGGTCACATGATCCCCTCTTGTGACCTTCTGACAAGCTAAGTCAATGGGGAAGCCAGATTCACTTAACAGCCATTTTACTAACGTAACAACTGCAGTGATTCACTTAACAACTGTGGCAAGAAAGGTCGTAAAATGGAGCAAAATTCACTTAACAAAAGTCTCACTTAGCAACAGAACTTTTGTGCTGAATTACTGTATACTTGTAAGTCGAGGATTACCTGTAGCCACATTTTTTTTTTTACACCTGGCATGGAGAAAGTGTTAGTGGCATTACTGGTTTCCAATGATGTCAGCAACCAGCAAGCGGATTCCAATCCTAAAAAAAAGATCCCCCCAAAATTGCAAGTGTCCTTAAAATAAAACTTGTCCATTGTGTTTCCATTGTGCATCGGTCTCTTAAATCTGAGTTCAGTTCAAACTAAAAAGCATTTAGTCTGAGACTGAAGCTCTAAAAATCCATGATAGAGCTCCTGAAGTTCAATCATTCCTCTTCAATTACTCATAGGAAAAACATAATTCTTTCTCTATTTTAGCCTTTTTTAGCCTAGGGAACATGATATAACTGTGCAAGTAGAAGTGATGCTGCCAAGTTGTAATACGAATGTTTAACAAATCTGTAGTGACAAAATAAGATACAGCTACAATAAAAATAATGATTTTTTTTTAAAATTTGATTTATATGCCGCCCTTCTCCGGAGACTCAGGGCGGCTTACAATGCGTTAAGCAATAGCCTTCATACTTTTGTATATTTATACAAAGTCAGCTTATTGCCCCCACAACTGGGTCCTCAATTTACCTACCTTAGAAAGGATGGAAGGCTGAGTCAACCTTGAGCCTTGGAGAGATTCGAACCAGCAGTAAATTGCAGGCAGCTGTGTTAATAACAGGGTGCTTAGACCACTGTACTATCAAGGATTCTTATTCCAATCCCTCCTCTGATCACATTGCCCAACCTTGCATTGTACCTCCTGAGGGAAAGGATCTTCACATTGTCCCATAGCGAAGTCTGATAACCACCGATAGCTCCAGTGGTGGGTTCCTACCGATTCGCCCCGGATCAGGTGAACTGGTAGCGGTGGCGGGAAACTCCTCCCACCCGCCCGGACATCTCTGTGCATGCACAGAAGCATCGTGCACACCCACGAGCAAACTGGTAGCGAACGAAATTGAAACCCACTACTGGATAGCTCCCAACTAGCTATGTAGAGCTTTGGGAATGGAGGCGTTTAGTTAAATAGATAAATAGCCTCCAATTGCTTGTATATGAAGCAGGGTAAGTCCAGAAATGATTAAAAATTCAGGCTAATGCAATTCTTATTATGGAACTACCTTAAGGTTAGTCGTAGTCCTGCAGTATTTCCTTATCTCTTCTCTCATATTGTTTATTGCAACAACAGTGAAAACGAATTGGGGGGGGTGGGGACAGAACAGCTGCCTAATGCCCTTTGACTAGAGCGAAGCCATCTGCCTTGAATCTTGATAGAGGAAAGACAAACAAGAAGTCAGAGTTTGCACTGAGGTGCCAATAAAATATTGCTCACTTCAGTTTTGAATTGCTGGGCTGTAAAAAATTCAGAGATTTCCCACGTGCTTTTGATTGCATCAGGGAAATAAGGAAGCAAGCAAGACTTGTTTCTCTCTTGCTTTTTTCTCTCTTGCCTTGGTCATCGCAAAACCGGAAAAGGATTGGGAAGGAAAGCCACAAAAGCTGCAGCACAGCAGCCTTCCCGAACTTCCTCAACTCTCCGTTCTCATCTGAGCAACTTATTAAGCAAATCACCAGGTTGTAGTGCCTCTTTTCTGCCTTGTTTACACTGACCTTGTCAGGTCTTCTGCAGGCTAGTTCTTTTAGCTCTAAGCTTGGCTTGACTTTCTGGATTTATCTGTGTATGGTCTTCCTTGCTACAGAAAGTCGGCAGTGAGGAAGGCGTAAGAGCTGAAAATAGCATGCAACACCCAAAGAGAAAGCCACGTCAATAAGCTGCCTTTTATTTACTATGCAGCTCAGAGTCCACCAATGCCTAGGCAACAACTAGCAATGATAACAATAACTTGTTAGGTTCGTACGGTGACCAAATCAGAAAGACTTAAATTGGCACGCAAATAAGAAATACCAATACATTGAGGAAATATCATAAATTGTCCGGGTTTCTGGTTGATTTCAAAGGCCAAGTTTTTAAAGCTTTTGAGAATATCTGGGTTGAGGCCAAAGATACCTTAGATGGAATGGTATTCCAGAAACCCCGAGAAGTGACAGAAAAGACACATCTCCGGGATTCTACAAGATGGCACCATTTAGTCAATAGGACTGGGCAACCCTTTCCTTGTCTGATCTCATAGCATGGGCAGAGACAAAAGGAGAAGACACTTTCCTAAATAACAGCCGCAAGCTATTGGGGCTATCACAAGATTCTTGTTTTTACTAGCCCATCTGTGATGGAATGTTGCTGGCAAAAATTCATTCCTGAGAGCAAGCCCAAAGACAATTTTCACACAATGGTAAGCAACAGTTGGTTATATTATCAGCTGCTGAAATCTACCTACTCCACTAAATGATAAACCACGTTTTACAAAGTGCATGTCCAACTGTGTGTTTTGACACCATTCCCTATACCAAAAGCAAGTTTTTCACATGAAAAGCTGCGTTTTCTAAGTCAGGCAAAAGATTTCCATAAATCTGTAGGACGTTCACTCTGATTTTGAGAAGGTAAGAGAGAATCTAATTTAAGGCAAAAGTGAGGCAGTTGATATAAACTACGACTGAGGCCAGATCTACATTTTAGACATATTGCTGGAGATAAGTAAATTCCCGTAAACTACTTACGCAGCTTCAGATTTTATCTAAGGTTATTTTCCCTAAATCTGGGAAACAACCATTTTCAATTTAATAGTGTTCCTTGCAGTATTATAAGAATCTTCATTTCCCAACCTAATTCCTACCCAACTCACAAGCCAGGACAAATCAGTTGCTTCTCTTACCTGTTTATTTTCAACCCAACAGAATGTTAGGGAAAAACAACCAAGAGAGATAAACAGATTCTGGTATACATGTGTCTATCCTTCTGCCCATCAGCAGGATAATTCTCCAAAAACGTAAACAGAATGGGACCAAATTTGGTATGGAACAAGAAGCAAGCAAAAGAAAGACTATGTTGAAAATGGGATGGGTCCAGCTGCAGACTGAGGAGAAAAAAAAAATCACGGGGGAAAAACATCTCCCAATGCATTCCTGAGGGACAGACAGATAGGCAGGGGCTTGGAGTACTACTGACTCCTCAATTCTTAAAATCCCCTCCCAGTAGCAGGATAGATATGCTATTAAGAAGATGGCAAGCTTTCAAGACGTCTCATGCTGTACTGCTGCAGTCTTTTCTATGCTTCCAAAATTCCAGGAGCCATGCTGTGCGCACTTTCCTAACTTGTACGCAACTTGTTTTCTGCTTCTGAAATTTGCAGATGACAAAAAATGGGAGATTTGGCCAAGACCCGGGAAAATAGAACAAGAATCAGTCTCACCTGGGCAGGTTAGAAGACTGGGCTGAGAGAAGCAAGGTGTCCTTCAACAGGGAGCAACGTAAGGTATTACATTTAGAAAAGAAAAATCCAAACCGTTCGTGCATATAAAATGTCATGTCTTGGAAGCAATATCTTGGAGAAGGAACTAGGTGCGGTCACTGACAGCAAGCCAAACATGAGCCAGTATGATGAGACAGTTGTTAGAAGAGCTAATGCAATTTTGGACTGGGGTTAGAAGCACTTTAAAACACATGTAAAGTTCTTATTCCCCTCTGCACTGGTGGTACCTGAAGGATCGTTTGTGATTCTGGGCACCGTTTACAAATGGACAGTTAGAGCAGTCTCAGAGGATGGCAACAAAGGTGATAAAAAAAATTGGAGAAATGCCCTGTCAGATAGACTGAAGGAACTGGGGATGTCCAGTCTCGAGAAAATAAGACTGAAGGAAAATAGAGTATCAGTTAGTCAGAAATTATTCTCCACTGGCACAGAAACTAGGACCAGAAATATTGGGTATAATGTACTTAGTTACCTACTAAGTTACTTAGATTTTGCTTAAAAATAAGGTACGACTTCCTGACAGTAAGAACTGTACAATTCTAGAACGGTTTACCAATATGGGTTAAACATTAGTGGTTCTTAAGGAGTGGGGGAATTACAAAAGTAATTTGGGCGTATGATATCCTTGAGTAATGGAGCTATTTGTAATTGCTTGTATGAGAATCAAGCCTCTAGTTTGAGACTGGGCTGTCAACAGTTTGTCTGAAACAAAAGCAGGATGGATTTGATTTAAATCAAGTTGATTTGAAACGAGTCAGAGGAGGAGTCGCTGCAGGACAGAGATGACAGTTGCTCTTTAAAAATTATGATTTAAATCATAATTTTTAAAGAGCAACTGTCATCTCTGTCCTGCAGCGGCTCCTCCTCTGACCCACTGTTGACTCACCGACAGTCCCATTCACTTTAATGGGATGGCTGGTGATATGGCAGTGACACAACAAGGTGAAGGACGTGGCAGACAGCAAATGAGTGAATGCACGCTAACAGGCACTGCCATGATGGATTTGAAATGACAGGTACTCTTTAAATGTAAGGACTCATTCTTGCTGGTAGTTAGAATCTTTAATATTATTATTTGCAAACAAAATGGTTTCCTATTTAGCTTGCAGAGCTTGGATTCATTGAATGAATTTACCAAAAATGTAAATATTGTAGAATATACAGCCTCATGCTACATAACTAAGCTCCATTTTGTGCTGAATAAATTAAATTATTAATGATTCTTAAACAGAAAACTATTTTTAGATAGATTTTTACTCCAAAAGCATTATATTAAAATAAATTTGATCAAAATAAAAAAAAAATCTAATTTAAATAAAAAAAATCTAATTTAAATTTTTATAAATCCGATTTTTAAAAAAAATCAGTGCACAAACAGTGCACTACCAAAATGGAAGATCAGGCTGGAAAAATGCTAAAATCAGATTGAAGCAAGCTAGAACAGCTGAAAGAAAAGAACATGAAGACTAAAAATAGATGATTGAGAAATATCACCTAGAAACAAAGAAGATTAAGGAAATACTGGAAATAAAAATAACAAATAACAGCTGTAACCAAGAAATTCAGCAGATACAAAGCTCGAATTACACATTATAGGCAGAATCTCCAATGTCATTCCAATCAGAAACATTTCTACCAATCCATCAATGGAGAGACTGCAGTGAACTAGTCAACACCTGAACAAAGAAAAACTATACAATTCTGGACACAGGTATGGGGTAACCGAAAGAAATGTAACAAGAATGCAGCTTGCATTAAAAAAAGGTAGAGAAGAGTAAAAAAAGAAACTGAAATGAAAGAACTTGTAATCATCATCTCCTTTTAATGACCCCATAATCCCTTGCAGGGGTGGAGTCTGGGCAACTGAATGGAGCTGCATGTTTACTGGCCAGATGCCCCTCCTGTCGCCAATGCCGAGTTATATTCAGCAGATATATTCTCATCGTGCCCAGAGAGAGAAATATCTGCCTCTACCTAAAATCGAACTCACAGCCTCCTGATCCACTCAAAATGAAAGAACTTGTAATACCAGCAGAAATGATGGAGAAAAGCTCAAGGAAGATCAAGAATTGGTTAGCACCGGTAGTGGGTTTCACTTACCTTTGCTACCGGTTCAGAACTTTGAGTGCACGCAGCGCTTCTGCACGTGCGCGGAGCATCCGTGATGACGTCCGGGCGGGTGGGTGGAGCCTCCCACTGCCGCCACTACCAGTTCACCTAAACCAGGACAAACCGGTAGAAACCCACCACTGGTCAGCACGGATGACATAAGTTTTGGTTGAAACATCTGACTGGTCTACACCCATTTAACAAAATATTGGATAGAAGTAAAACTGAAGACTTGCTACATGTGCCAAGGGCGCTGCCACCTGGCTATATTGTTAAAAAGCCAGATATCTTGCTTTTATATGTACTTAGATGTTGTAATGTTTTTACTGTTTTTTATTGTTTTACTGGTCTTTTTTTATTTATTTATTTATTTGATTTATATGCCGCCCTTCTCCGGAGACTCAGGGCGGCTTACAATGTGCTCAGCAATAGCCTTCATCCTTTTGTATATTTATACAAAGTCAGCTTATTGCCCCCACAAACTGGGTCCTCATTTAACCTACCTTAGAAAGGATGGAAGGCTGAGTCAACCTTGAGCCTGGTAAGATTCGAACCTGCAGAAATTGCAGGCAGCTGGTCTTAATAACAGGGTGCTTTAGACCACTGTACTACCAAGGCTCTACTGGCTTTTACTGTTTTTAAATGCTTAATTGTAATATATGTTTTGAATTGGACAAATATCAATGGTACAATGGAAGACACAGTTGCCAATCAATGATGACAGACTGGGAGGGGTTAATATCAAGATAGGAATCATTCATGGAGACTCACTTCTACCTCTAATGTTTGTGATTGCAGTGATACCTCTATCAACAGTATTGAGCAAATCAGACCATAGCTATCAAACATCCAAAACATCCACCAGGCTATTCCACCTCCTTTATATGAACGATATGAACTTATATGGGAAAACACCATCTGAAGTAGAATTGCTTCGGCGTTGTGTATTCAGCCAAGAAAGTTCAATGGAATTTGAATGGGACAAATATGCTACTCTCACAATCAACAGGGGGGAAAATAGTGAAAACTGAAGGGATCAAGATGCCCTGTGGAAATAACATCAAGAATCTGATGAAGACAATCACTACAAATACCTGGTCATCCTTCAAGCTGACACTATCAAGCACATTGAAGCAGTGGTGAAATGTAAAATTTGTTACTACCGGTTCTGTGGGTGTGGCTTGGTGGTGGTGGTAATATGACTGGGTGGGCGTGGCCAACCTTTTTTTTTTTTTACTTTTAAAAGCATTTTTTCTACAACCTCTTCAGACGAAGGGGTTGTTTAAAAAATGCTTTTAAAAGGTTCTGATGATCCCAGTTGAGTTGCCTGATCGCCAGAGGCTTTTTTTTCTTTTTAAAAGCATATTTTTTTTTGCTTTTAAAAGAAAACAAAAGCCTCTGACGATCAGGCAACTCAGCTGGGATCGTCAGAGCCTTTTAAAAGCATTTTTTCTACAACCTCTTCGGCCAAAGAGGTTGTAGAAAAAATGCTTTTAAAAGTAAAAAAAAGAGCCTCTGATGATTGCACAGCTCAGCTCAGCTGGGCATGGGGGGGAGGGCAGGGATTTTTGCTACCGGTTCTCCGAGCCACCCATCGCCATCGCTACCGGATCGGGCAGATCTGGTCTGAACCGGGATCATTTTACCCCTGCGTTGAAAGTTAGAAGTGAATACATTGTGAAAGTGAAGATCATTTAAAAATCCAAACTCAGTGGAGGAAATACAATCAATACAATTAAAACTTGGGCAATTCCAGACACAGCTGGAATAGTGGACTGCATCCAAGCAGAACTAAAAGCCCTAGACAGGAAGAACAGAAAAATAATGACAATGAATCATGCCTTTTATCCTCGCAGATTTGATTTACCATGGAGCATAGCTGAGCATGGAATGTTATAAGTAGACCAGACGTTTTTTTGTTTTTTTTTTTAATTTGATTTATATGCCGCCCTTCTCCGGAGACTCGGGGCGGCTTACAATGCACTAAGCAATAGCCTTCATTCTAGTTGAAGAAAGAAATAGAGCATTGAAAAAATATCTGAAGGAGATTAAAGAAAATGCACTGAAACTAGTACACCATAAAGAAACCAAACTAACCTACAAGAAAAACCAAATGAAGAATAAAAAAGAGACATGGCAAAGCAAAGTATTATATGGCCAGTATATTTTTTTAAAAAGCAGGAAAAGCAGATAACAAAACCTGGCAATGACTAAGCAGGAAACTTTAAAAAAGAGGCAGAAGGTTAATTCTGCCTGCAGAAGATAAAGCCTTTAAGAACAAATGCATATAAAGCCAGAACTGAGAAGACAGCAAATGCCATTTCTGCAAAAAACTGAAGAAATGGTGGATCACCTGGTTAGCTGCTGCAAGAAGATGGCTCGACAACAGATTGATTACAAATAATGGCATGATGAAGTAGCAACAAAGATGCACTGGAATATCTGCAAGAAATGTCATTTGCCTACCAACAAGAACTGGTGGGACTGCAAAATAGACAAAGTAATATACTGTAGGTGATGAAGAAGCTAAAGTACTCTAGAACTTTGGAATTCAAATATATAGGCATTTGCTACATAATACCCCAGAATTAACAACTATTAATAAGAAAGACCAAAAAAATCTGGATAGTGGACATTGCAGTACCTGGAGACAGCACAGGGGTGAAATGCTCCCAGTTCGGACCGGATCGCCTGATCCGGTAGCGATGACGGTGGGTCATCAGAGGCTTTTGTTTTCTTTTAAAAGCAAAAAAAATGCTTTTAAAAAGAAAAAAAAGCCTCTGGCAATCAGGCAACTCAGCTGGGATCGTCAGAGCCTTTTAAAAGCATTTTTTAAACAACCCCTTCGTCTGAAGAGGTTGTAGAAAAAATGCTTTTAAAAGTTAAAAAAAAAATTGGCCACGCTCACCCAGTCACATTACCCCCCCCCAAGCCACACCCACACAACCGGTAGTAACAAATTTTACATTTCACCACTGAGACAGGAGAATAGAAATGGAGAAAATCACAAAATACAAAGTCTGCAAATACAAGTAGAATAATTGGGGCAAAACCAAGATAGTACCAATAGTAATAATGTCACTTGGATGCAAACTCAAAACATCTGGAGCACCATCTGAACATCATCAGCACTGGCAAAAATTACCATCAGTCAATTGCAAATGGCAGCTTTACTTGGAACAACTTTAATCCTGTTTTAACACCATCAAACAACAACCACCACCACCTATCCCATGTCCTTGGCAGGGACTCAGTAGGTGGATAAAATGCCAAATCCAGCCTAAACACCTGGCTGATATGCAACCAGCCATTACTATCATAATAATATAGGGAACTATGTATTCCCTCCCCCCCCCCAATTTCTGGCTTAGAAACTCTCTTTATCAGCTGGTTTCATTTATTCTGCTCTCTCTTAATGTGGCTTTGCCTTAACATGCTTGGTAAACTCAAGTTTAAACTTGTGGTTCATCAAACATAGTTTATGAGTCAGTGCAACCAATGTCTGAACCTATCTGGTGCTGGTGGGTTTAATAACCCTGATTAAAGAAATCATAACTTAGCAAACCATCATCTGTGAAGCCAATCTGTAGATTAGTGACAGCTAAATTGTCACCCTGTTTTAATCACAAAATCTTGGGACAAGATTAGGACCTCCACTTAATCTAAAGCACATTCAGAAAAAAAACACAGCCTTTTGTTTCTATCTGATGGAGCAAATCTTAACCCCAACTTTACTTGTATACGTTTCTTTCAACTTGTTTTCCCACTGAGCTATTTTGTTGGATTTAAGAAGAATTTTTCTTGAAACTACCCAATCACAGAATCTGTCCTTCCCAACTATTTTAGGAACCTTTCTCCAAATATTTACTCTAAAAGCATTCATGACCATTAACTCTCCTCCTCCTAATTTCAAGAAGAGGGACTTAGTTCAACACAGAATTGCAATAATATTTGTGCATAAGAAGAAAGCTGAAGAGAAAGCTCTGTCTCCCAGAGAGACAGAGCAAACCAAGGAGTCTTTCCCACTTGACCTCTTCCAGATGTCGAAGGGAAAACTGTATTCTACTACCACTGGAGGATGCCTTGTTGAAGAAGATTGAGCTGGAATACTGGATGCAAACCATTTTACCTAGAACCCATACAATCCCCATAAATATCAATGAGGCTGTCTCATAAGAAGTGAGAGTGTAACTTAGGTTAATGTATTAAAAGGCAAGTGCGATTGGGGCTTCCATATCCATAAACCACGTTATCTTGATGCTGATTACATATCAAAATTGTTGAGGGTAAACTGCCCTCTGCAGAGTAGAGCGACGGACCAGACAACGTTGCAATACAGATACTCTCAGACTCTGAACATTGTTAGAAAAATAAATAGTCTTTACTTGTTGTAAAACAAACAAACCTGGATTCTCATAAACTAAGATAACACTTTCAATACAAAACAAAGTTTGCTTACAGTTCTAGTTCCGTAACACCGACACAGTATCTCTAGCAGTAATATCAAGAGCAGGAGTGAGGAGGAGTGAATGAACTTCCTGCCTTCCTTTTATTTCTGTTTTAACCACTTAATCAATTGGTCATCTTGTAGCAGTTAAAGTTACAGTACATATTATCTACCCAATCGTAGGATAAGGATCCAGCAAAAATACAGATGCTATTAACTTTCATTAGGAAGATGGGTGGTATATCTTTAATTAGGATATTGACTCTAGAATTTTGTAGACTTTTATACCCATCAGCCTCAGCTATCCAGATAGCATCTGATAGTATATAATTCAATTACTTCAATAGATACTTGAACATCTATTGCAGGGGTGTCAAACTCACGTCTTCACGTCGTCACATGATGTATCGCGACTTTTTCCCCCTTCGCTAAACCAGGGATGGGTGTGGCCAGCACGTGGTGCATCCAGCCTGCAGGCCACAAGTTTGACACCCCTGATCTATTAACTGGTGAGAAAAAAGTCTTAAGTTAGGTATAAGTGTCTATGAATGGCTGGTTCTCATGTATGTTTTGTTAGATTTTGGTTTAGCATATTTTGTGAATTTAGGCATCATGTTTTTTGGCTTGGTACAATGCATGAACCCAGCTACTGTAGTTTATTCAACAAACCAAGATTAAAGCCAATCATTGTTAAGCACCCAGCTTGTGAAGAATGTTTTAATACTGTTCCAAATTACAATGAGCAATCAATGATTGAAGAGAAATTGACAATGCAGAATATATCTAGAGTGTATTTATTTATCCATTCGTTTATTGAATTTGTACAGCCACCCATCTCAAACCTGATGCAAACATGCCTAGTAGACTTCCCTGAAACTCCACTTCTGCTCTACTTATGTATCTTTAAATAAATAATATCACAAACACCACCACTAATTTCTTATGCTTGCTTTCCTTCCAGAAGAAGTGAAATCCAACAGAAATCCAACTTAGTTCTCTTTGGACACAGAAGGAAGGCGAAACAGCGCCGAAGAGCTGATTTGTGGTTGTTCATAAACCAGAGAACTGCTACTAGAAAGTATATAAGGACATGCTATTTCAAGAAATGCTACTGAATAGCATGCAGCCAGTATGAGAAGATTTTAAACTCATTGCCCTGCTGAAATCACTTGAAAGACTCAGTCCCACTTTGGACAGAGTGACCACATGATATTACACAATTTCCTGAAAACTCATGGAAAGTATCTCAATTTCCAGAAAGACAACAATGAATGTGCCTCTACTCAGTTTTTCCTTCCGAGAATGAAAAAAGGTAACTAGTTAGTTCCATGATTCCAAACATGATGCCTAACCACAATTACCTGATCTTACCATATACGGTATGAGGTCATCAGCATTTATCCAATATCTTTGATTTTGCCTTTGCTCCTAATTGTTCACACACATCACACTCACATCTGCCTTTTTAACTTGAAACTTTACTTTTAGTGTTTCAGGAACCTGGAAGCATGTTAGAGCAACAGGAGAGATTATTTAGAAAGGGAGTGGTACCCTATTTTGAACTATTTATTCATTATCAGTTAATAAGTAAATTATTTGTTTTCTTACTGTGTTGTCTAGCAAAACTGATAAGGATGGATCAAATTTAGTGGGGAGGAAAGGAAAGGAAAGGAAAGGAAAGGAAAGGAAAGGAAAGGAAAGGAAAGGAAAGGAAAGGAAAGGAAAATTTGTGTCTTCAAGTCAGTCTTGATTCCTCATGAATGTCTGGACTAGTTCCTGAAGTTTTCTCTGCAAACTTCAGAGAAAACTTCAGAGCCTGAGATGGAGTGACTGGTGGAGGGTCACCCAATTGGCTTAGTGCCTAAGGTGGGACTAGAAGTCCTGGTCTCTAGTCTGGGGCTTTGGCCACTACACCAGAACGGCTCTCCAAACATAACAAAACAGAAAATGCACAAATATAATAAAAATTCAATATACATTTTTAAGTATCCACTTAAAACCAAGACCAAATTTAACAACACAAAACTATACCCACTACTCTTCCAAAGATTAAACCCAAAATATTAATGCATTTGGAGTAATAACAGGTCATCATGAGAATGGCTCTGAAAAAAACTCTCTAAGAAATTAAACTAAGTCACCAAGCAACCGGTTAACACTATTACAGTATAATAACCTCTTTTTTCAGTTCCTCTGAAGGAAAGGAAAGGAAAGGAAAGGAAAGGAAAGGAAAGGAAAGGAAATTTGTGTCTTCAAGTCAGTCTTGATTCCTCATGAATGTCTGGACTAGTTCCTGAAGTTTTCTCTGCAAACTTCAGAGAAAACTTCAGAGCCTGAGATGGAGTGACTGGTGGAGGGTCACCCAATTGGCTTAGTGCCTAAGGTGGGACTAGAAGTCCTGGTCTCTAGTCTGGGGCTTTGGCCACTACACCAGAACGGCTCTCCAAACATAACAAAACAGAAAATGCACAAATATAATAAAATTCAATATACATTTTTAAGTATCCACTTAAAACCAAGACCAAATTTAACAACACAAAACTATACCCACTACTCTTCCAAAGATTAAACCCAAAATATTAATGCATTTGGAGTAATAACAGGTCATCATGAGAATGGCTCTGAAAAAAACTCTCTAAGAAATTAAACTAAGTCACCAAGCAACCAGTTAACACTATTACAGTATAATAACCTTCTCTTTTTTCAGTTCCTCTGTGGAAACCAGCAAAGCTGCTAAGCCTTACATGAGACACAGGCTGGTGGTCAGATAGGAACAGCTACATCAATAACTTTTATCATTTGCTTGGAACCAAACATTTTGGCAGCTGTATTTCATTATAATTCTTTTCTAGCCCTTAAGAATTCATTCTTTTGCATGATTAATACGTAGCACCAGAGTCTTATCTCCAATCTCAATATTTACTTATGTACTTCCAGTTAGTCCAATGACTATTTTTTCTGATCCCACTATAGCAGGAGTCCCTAACTCTCGGTCCATGACATGCCAGAAACCGGGCTGCAGAAACAAGCTAAGTCCCATCCGTGGGATGCAGGAAGCACACGAAACCATGTTCCCTCCAGTCTGTGGAAAAACCTCTCTCCACGAAACCGGTCCCTGGTGTCCAAAAGGTTGGGGGCCGCTACACTATAGCACAGGGGGGAATAAAAACAAGATTGTCAAGATTGTGTTGGCTCTTCTCTAAACGTTGTTATCCTGAACACTATCACCTCTTTGCGCCAAATAGTGCAAAGTGTATTCCATGCAAATCTTCCTGACTCAATTTGGTTACAGCTGCAAAATTATGGGAAGCTGCAGTACAAATTTATTTATATATTTATCTGGCTCTTCTTACAACGTAAAGGCAGTCTTGAATAAAAGTTTAGTGCTGGAGGAAGTCCTGTAGCCCACGTACAAGTGGAAAAGTGGGTGAAAAAACTCAGCTTCTATGAGTTAATCCATATTGGATTTTTGGCAGTAAAGCAGAAGTTGTTTCCCATTATCTTCTTTTAATATTTTTAAATTCACTGTCTAGTTTATAGTCCTGGGTTTTCCTGGTAATTTGCTATCCAATGCTATCAAGCTTTTACCTCCCACTGGCTTTCTTCAACATCACACTATGGTGGTAGGATTTGCACCGATCACAAGTTCATATACTGAGTCAACCCAAACAAACCAGAACTTGGCTTAGCAAGTGATCCTTGACATGAATTGAGAATCAGATATTTTGTATGACTTAAATGATGGCCCCTGGAGAACTGATTTACTTCTCAAAACACTTATGAACTGTTTTGGTCATCTGTTTTATGCTGGTTAGCAAATGTGTGACTTTATTGTTTTTAATAAGCCAAACAGTGTTAGTTCATAATAATGAAGTAAACTAACTAATGAAGTTCATTAGTTAGTTATTATTATGATCTAAGACTAACTAACGAAGTAAACATTTAGACTAATTCAGTCCAGAATGTTTTGGTGTTGTATGATGTACGGATGTGTGTGTTTTAACAAGCTGAGTAGCTGTAGAGGCAACCCAGCTTGAGAATGATTTCAACTTTTGACCTAATTTGCATGCTTTATTGGACGTAGCATCCTGACATCTGAAGTGGGACAGGATTCATCTGTTTTCCTTCCTTTTTGGTAACACTGACATCTCTGGGCCAGATCTTGTTCAGATCCAAGCACATAATTTCTATACCTGGATTTTAAACTCAAGAAGAAGCTCCACACGATAATGATCAAAATACACTTTCCACCAAGTAAATAAGAGTATCAGAAATATGCACAGTAAATTAGCTTGAAGAATTGGGGGGTGCAGGTATATTTTGAACTTTGTTTTAAAAAAGTAGATTCCTGTGCCTCACACACTTCTACAAAAAAATGTCTACTCAGATTATCCCAACAATCAAGTTTATCACTGGGCTAAATGTTTCCAAGTGTACTTACACTCTTCTTTAACACTGTAATATAAGGGTCATGTTTTGCTGAATCATATCAAAGTCCATCTTTTAACATAACAGAGCTTTGTATGAGTTTCAGCCACCATCAAAAGCTATGTAGATCACACAAGATAATAACAGCTAAGTGATTGACAGTTCACTGTTGATTTTCTGGCTGTTTTCTCTCCCATCAAGGGTTGGGCAAACATTTAAGACTGTACACAAACCCAGAGCAGGAAGGATACACATTATTATGAACTAAGTCAGGGGTCCTCAAACTACGGGCCGTGGGTTGGATTAATGGCGCCAAAGCCATTAATCCGGCCTGCATGGGACCATGAGGCTGCCCCACCCACATCGCCCCACCCACCCACCAGCCCCCACTCTTTGGCCACCCTTACCTTCATGAGCCCCGTGGGCTGAAACTGGAAAGTAAGGCCAAACGTTTTGGCCAGCAGAGTGCTTCTGGGGGCCAGGGAGGCCAAAAATGGGGTGTGTGGAGGCCCTAGGAGGGAAAAATGGCACCCTCCGCCTCAGTTTCTTAGCTCAGGCTTCCTCCATCTATCCGTCCCTGGACTCAGGGTGGGGATCAACCAGGGCGCTCCAAGCGGGCAATCACCCGTCGTGGCTCTGACAGGGGCCTGGGAAGTAGGTGCCTCACTGCTGCAGCTTCCAGCAGGCAGGGGGGTGATGTGGGCAGCGCAGCCTCGCAGTTTCTGGCCGCCCCCACCTGCTGGCAGCCACAGCACGTGAGGATGCAAAAGGAGCGGCATCCACCAAGGTGCAGGTGTCCGGCAGCAGGGACTCCGCAGCTGGCCCTCCAAGAAACAGGCATGGCGGCAGCAGCACTGGCATCGGCAGCAGGCAGAGTGGGGAGGAAGGCATGTGATGCGGACCACCAGACACGTGTGTTTCATCCCATGTAGCTGGAGAACCGCTCACATTTTCAGTTCTGCACTAGGTGAATCAGTTGTTAAATTATGTTAACGTCACCTCTGATCCCAAGTACGTGGGAGGTTACTGCTGATGGGTGCCTGTTTCCAGGTTCTGGAGTAGACATAAACCTGCTCCTTTCCCTCTCTGAGGAAGCCCAGCTCTTGGGCTGAGTGCCTTGCCTCCTACCAGTGGTGGGATTCAATTTTTTTAACAACCGGTTCTGTGGGTGTGGCTTATTTGGGTGGGCATGGCTTGGTGGTCATGTGACTGGGTGGCCATGGCTATGTGTATAGGGACTACTCAGAAGGCTGAAAATAGTCATTTCTGACCGGTCCTCGCACTTTTGACTGGTCCTCACATTTATGCCCGTTGCAGCATTCTTAACAACCGTATCACTCATTTCACAACTGCATCTCTTCACCATGGTGACAAGATAGGGCGCAAAACGTAAAATGTGAGGACAGTTGTAAGTGTGAGGACCGGTCAAAAATAACTTTTTCAGGCCTCTGAGTAGTCCATATGCACAAAAGGATTACCCAGAGGGCTGAAAAAAGTGATTTCTGACAGGTCCTCACACTTTTGACCAGTCCTCGCACTTATGACTGGTCATCATTTATGCCCGTTACAGCATTCTTAACAACCATGTCACTCATTTCACAACTGCGGTGCTTCATGTGACCGGGTGGCCGTGTCCAGGTAGTCATGTGGCATCGCTTCTTTGCCCTAATGACAGTTTGGTGCAATGGTCATAAATGTGAAAAACTGTCATAAGTCACTTTTTCCTGTGTCATTGCAACTGTTGTAAATCAAGGATTACCTGTACAAAAATACAAAAAGCTTCTTTGCTTGCAAAAAGCTGCCCTAAATATCAATCATTAGATTAGAAAACCTGCAAACTGGAGTTACAAATCAGGGAGGGTGCGAGAGAACTTTGAGGAATTAAAATAGTTAAAATGCAATGATAACTATCAGCAGCCAAGTCTTGCTCATAAAGTGAAACCCTTTAGCAGAGAGGTCATTTAAGCTCTCCAGAATGAAGCAAAGGAGCAAACAGAGTATCTGTTGCTTGTTAAACCAATTACCATAACAAATAGACACAGAACTAGTCAGATTTCCAAAGCTGCTTCTTTTCAGGAACAGAGATTAACATTTTTCCTTCCAAACAAAGCTGAATAGGGAAAATTATCTCATCACTAAACACAGGATTAAACTTCACCAAAAACCAGTTTTAGACCAAAAGTCAGAAAGGGTAGGTAAACTCATGTTTGAATGTCAATCTTTCTAGCTAGCCAATAAGCCTTGCTGAATGTCACTCATCTTTGTTCCTTGTCATTAAAAGCTTCTGCTTCGTTACTCAATTATTTCTTCAAAGTGCTGATCATTGCACCCTGGCTGGAAGAACTACAACAGGGGAGTATTTCCTCCCAACAGCAGTATAAAAAGCTTAAAACAACCCTTCCCCTTTAAGAAAGTAAAGCAAAATAAAACCCCTGAGAACCTCTGGAACTGGAAGCGACAGTAAGTCTAGGCATACTGCTGGAGAGGCAGTTTCTGTAAACAGGGCAATAAAGATTAGGCTAGGAAACAACACCGAATGTTGTAATTCCTTACAGAATTAACCCTGTAAAGTGGAAAAAAACAAAAGGAGATTTCTTTTAACAACCGGTTCTCTGAACTGCTTAACTACTTGACTACTTAACAACCGGTTCTACCGAACTGGTGCAAACCAGTAGAATCCCACCACTGCCTCCCACCCATCCAAAACAAGGAGAGGCAATGCCTTCCCTGGTTTGTTCTACTTGTTGATTGTAAGCTCCTTGGGACTGAGACTAGACTCCTAAACAACTTTAAAAAACGATTTAGTAAAAAGAAAAGGCAACCAAAAGAGCAACATGCAAACAAAAGCAAATAAAACACCCCCAGGAGCAAAACAAATTAAAGTTTAATTTGTGTGTATTGTTTAATGGACTGCTAAATTGGCCATGCCCACCAAGTCACATGACCACCTAGCCACGCCCTCCCCCTAGCCAGTCCGGCCCCCCAACAGTCTGAGGGACTGTGAATTGGCCTCCGGTTTAAAAAGTTTGAGGGCCCCTGAACTAAGTGAACAGTTCTTATTTCGCTAAGAAACTAACAAAATAAAAACCTGGAAAGTTCTTGTAAAATATAAAATATCTAGCAAGGAACCACAGCCAATTTCTGAAGGAAATATATATATCTCTATAGCCCACCAGGTTGTATTTCAGCCCTTAAAGATTGTTTGCTAGAGGGTACAAACATAATGTTTCCACTGAATTTTGCCAACAGCAAATACATTTTAAGACCTTAAGTGCTAAGGGGAAGTGAGAGGTTTGATTCATAATGGTGTTGAGAAGCACCCAGTTTATATATAGAACTTGTTACCATGAGATGGGGTAATGGTCACCAAACTAAGAAGCTTTACAAAGAGAACCCACAAAGATGTTTGTGGCCACTATAGAGAAACAAAGCAAAAGTCCATCACTCCTATTTTATTTTCCATCTGGATCCTCTGAGATACAAGAGGCTGGCCTAGAGCGACCTATGTTTTGATAGAAGGAAAAGTATGGTAGCCACAGATCATGCAAACATTCAGAGGAGAAGAGATTCTGAATTTTGGAAATTTGGAACTCATCTGCAATTGGATGTCATTCGGAAGCCAACTTTCTCCACCCATATTCTTCTAACAGGATGCATATCTCTACAGAGAAGGAGTTTATTTCATCACTCCACTTATGTTAGCAAAATATTTGCTGAGAAATGCTCATATTGCAGAGGCATATTTGAGAATAA